ACCAGGGCAGAGAATAGTAGGACTATAACTTCCCTGGATCTATGAATGCTGCCCAGTATATTAAAATATGCACATGGATGTGGGATCTCATCAATTCAGGAGTTCCCTCCAATGATGCAGATTCCAGCTTACCTATGCCAAGCCCTTTTGCATGACTCTCATTTATCTTCTTCCCAAGTTCACTGGTACCCACCCACCTCACTGGGGGCCTTCTTTGCTTTCTACGGACAACACAAGGATGCCCGGCGGGGGGGGGCGTTCTGCACCCTGGATGGCCACCTGCCACTGCTTGCTCTTGCCACATGGCCAGTCCATCTTCTTTCCCTCCCATACGATGCCTGGCTGGCAACCTTTCCTTCTCACCATTAGTGCAGCCTAATATCACATTAGTTTTTGGGTTTTTTTTTTTGACTCTGTCACCTTTCCACTGGGGCAGTTTTCACTGTAATCCCCTTTCTGAGGCCATCTCCTTATGCCCTGCTGAACAAGACCATCTCATAATAATTCTCAGTTTTAACATATTAACTTTAAGTATTATAAGATCAGCAATTTAAAACTGGGAGATAATGTGCTCAAAGTCTTTAATTTTATAATGAAGAGTAGTGAAGTCACTTGGTCATGTTTACACAGGTAATAAATAGCAGCAGAGTGAGGATTCACATCCAGGTCCTTCAATTCTAAATCCAATGTTCTCTTCATTATACCAGGCTTCCCTCTTTAGTTAAAACATTTGTTCTAAAGCTCTTTTCAAATCTAACGTTCTACGATCTAAGGTCCCTTTCATTCTGAATATTCTGTTTTACCTTTCTAAGGTCCCTTCCAGCTCTGACTTCTCCTTTACTCACCACCCTCTCTCCTGTATCTTTTAGAAAATTGCAACAACAACAATTATTATTGAACCATAATTATAGTACAGAATACTACTATTGTTATATGATAATAATTATAATCATTATAGAAATTTATAGAATTTTATGTTTTGGAACGCTCTATGCATATATTACCTATTTTGAGTCTCATAATAAAACTGTAAGGAAGGTACTATGGATATTATCATTCCCATTTTACAGATCAATTGAAACTCTAAGAAGTTAACCTAAATAAGTAGTCCATGCTCACACAGCCCATGCTCATATAGCTAGTCAATGTCAGAATTTGAGCTCAGTCTTTCTGGACTCCAAGTCTACCAGTCTATCTACTCTGCTGTATTCTTGTTATAAAATATATTCTGTTAAAAAATAATCAAGATCTTTATAAGAATACAAGTCATTCAGGGGCAGCTAGGTGGCGCAGTGGATAGAGTACTGGCCCTGAAGTCAGGAGGACCTGAATTCAAATCCGGCCTCAGACCAAACACTTGACACGTACTAGCTGTGTGACCTTGGGCAAGTCACTTAACCCCGATTGTCTTACAAAAACAAAAAGAATACAAGTCATTCCCCAATTGATAAACAGTCAAAGGATATAAACAGGCAGTTTTCAGATGAAGAAATTAAAGCTATCCATAGTCACATAAAAAAATGATTTAGAAATCACTATTGATTAGAGAAATACAAATCAAAATGACTCTGAGGTACCACATCCTATCTATCAGATTGGCTAACATGACAAATCAGGAAAATGATAAATGTTGGAGAAGATATGGGAAAATTGGAACACTAATACATTGTTGGTGGAATTGTGAACTGATCCAACCATTCTGGAGAGCAATTTGGAACTATGCCCAAAGGGCTATAAGAATGTGCATATCCTTTTACCCAGCAATAGCATTTCTAAGGCTGTATCCCAAAGAGATCATAAAAATGGGAAAAGGACCCACATGTAAAAAAATATTTATAGCAGCTCTTTCTGTGGTGGCAAAGAATTGGAAATTGAGGGGATGTCCACCAATTGGGGAATGGCTGAACAAGTTGTGGTATATGAATGTAATGGAATACTATTGTGCCATAAGAAATGATGAGGGGTAGCTAGCTGGCACAGTGGATAGAGCACTGGCCCTGGAGTCAGGAGGACCTGAGTTCAAATCCGACCTCAGACACTTGACACTTACTAGCTGTGTGACCCTGGGCAAGTCAATTAAGCCCATTGCCTAGCCAAAAAAAAAGAAGAAAAAAGAAAAAAGAAAAAAAAGAAATGATGATCAAGCAGACTTCAGAAAAATCTGGAAAGACTTGTGTGGACTGATGCTGAGTGAAGTGAGCAGAACCAGGAGAACATTGTACACAGTAACAGCCACATTGTGCAATGACTAATTTTGATAGACTTTGCTCTTCTCAGCAATGCAAGGATCTAAGACATCTCCAAAAGTCCCATGATGGAAAATGCTCTCCACATCCAGAGAAAGAAACATGGAGTCTGAATGCAGTTTGAAGCATACTTTTTACTCCTTTTATTTCTTCTGTTTAGTTCTGTTTCTTCTTTCTTGCGGTTCCTCCTATTGGTTCTAATTCTTCTTTACAACATGACTAATGTGAAAATATGTTTAATAGGATTGTGTATATATAGAGCCTATATCAGATTGCATGCTGTCTTGGGGAGGGAGGGGGAGAAAATTTAAAACTCAAAAGCTTATGGAAGTGAATGTTGAAAACTAAAAATAAATTAATTAAAAAAAAACAGGATCCCTGTGATATTTAGCTTTTATCATCCATATTATATACACACATCCTCCACTGATAACCCTGATGTCTCTTTTGGGTTTGGAGGGGACCTTGGATTGTTGAAGGTTATATGTCAGGGGAATGTAATCTTGGGGTAGGTTCCTCTAAGCAGAAAGGCTTTGAGGACCTTTCCAATAATAGACTATGTAAATGTCATCTAAGACACTCAAACTAAGTCCAGAGAGAATTATGGCCAGAAGTTTGGCCACATCATGGTCATTTTTTTAATCAAGGCAACTCATAAAGACCATTTACTAATGGAGTAGGTTGCAATTTTTAATGGTACAGGAAAAACCCATAACAATGCAAATATTTGTGGATACCTCAACTCTATATGTTCAATATGGAACTGAAATGTTGTCTTTAAACCTATCTTTTCTCCTGTAGAGGGTATCACCATCCTCCAAGTCACCCAGGCTCATAACTTTAAAATCATCTTTGACTTCTATGTGTGTCCCACTGCTTATATCCAATCATTTGTCATATCTTACCAATTCTATCTCCACATGTCTTGCAACTTTCCCCTCTTCTCCAGTCACACTTCTACCACTCTGATTCAGATCCTAATCACCTATCACTTGACCTACTGTAAAAGCCTCCTGACTGGTCTCCTCGCTTCCAGACTCTTCCTTCTTTCATTTCATCCTGCACAGCTGTCAAACGTCATTTTCCTCAGGCACAGGCCTGACTATGTCATTCTCTTGTCCAAAAACCCTCAGTAGTTTCCTGACTGCCCAAAAGGATTTATCCAAACTTCCCAGTCTGGCTTTTAAGGCTCTCCACAAACTGGCCCCGTCTTCCCTTTTCTAGCCCTACAGCATACTGCTTCCCTTGATGAACTCTACATTCCAGTCAAACAGAACTACTAGATAGATGCCTCCCCAGCCTGACACTCCATCTTGCACCTACATCTCTATTTCCCAAGCCTGGAATGCACTCCCTCCTCATCTCAGCTTCCAAGACTCCTTTGATATTTGGTCTTGCTCAGGTGCCACCTCCTCTGAGAAGGCTTCCTCAAATTCCCCCAGCTAACACAGCTCTAATTATCATTGCAGAATACCTATATATGTCCCAATAGTATCCCAAAAGAAGAATGTAAACTTTGTTTCATTCTTGTCTATGTGTTCTTTGCACATCATTGGCATTTGATAAAAGTTTGTCCAATTGAACTGAAATCATAGATACATTAAATATTGAAGTAAATATAAATACACATATGCATGCATGTATACACAAATATACTTTTAGAACAAGAAGAGATTAATGCAACCCATTCATTTGATGGATAAGAAAACTACAGCCAGAAAGGAGAACTGACTTGCCTAAGGTCACAAAGATGGTAAACTGATTGAAGGAAATGATGGATATATTGTAAACTAAAAAGGACTATATAAATACCATAATTATTATTATAGGCATGTAGATAGGGCCTGGACCTGTTATTTCACTGGAATAGAGAACCTCAGGAGAGAAAACTGCCCCTACCAATGAAGGTTGTTACCATTTCTGCAATTTCTAGTCTTCGAGAATGGCCCAGAACACAAAGAACTTATGTGACTTGCTCAGGGCCACATGGCTAGTGTTTGTTAGAGGCGGGACTGGAGCTCAGCTCTTCTTGGCTCCAAGGCCAGCTTTGTGTCTCCCATAGTGTTGTTTCTCACTGAGGCTGTGATCTGTATTTAAAGTTGAGCAAACCCATTCAATCTTCTATCTTTCCTCTGTTTATCTTCCTTTCAGGGGAAATATACTTATATATACACATGTATACCTAGACACATTTATACACATGTATATGTGTATGCTTGTGTACATATATGGATATGATTTACTTGCAGAATCAAAGTAGAATAATTTGTTGGCCTAGGAGAGAGAAGCCCTAGATTCACATCCTGAATTAGGTGTGTGGCCCAAACCAAATCATTTCAACTCCCTGAGCCCTGATTACTTCATTTATAAAATGGTGATAATAACACTTGGTTGGGTCACTTACCTCACAGGGAATTTCAAGGATTAAAGACCATGAGATAATGTACATAAAGTGCTTTATTAATGAGTTATTAGCTTTAGGAAAATGTGGTGGTCATAAGATCACAGATCTAGAGCTAAGCCCTCAGAAGATATGTAGCTGAAACCCCTCATTTTATGGGTGAAGAAACTGAGGTCAGTACGTTTAAATGACTGCCTCAAGGTCTCAAAAGTAATAATCAGCAGAGACAGAATGTGAACCTAGGTCCTCTGCTTCCACTGAGCAACACTTAAGCACTCCAATTTAGCAGACACAGACCGGGATATTCTATATGCAGTTTAAGAAAATACAGAGTAAAGTCTGGCCTTACCAACCTTATGAAAGTGCGGAACCCTGTTGGTCCCAACCTTGTCGTCCCCTTTATTCCAAGGAATCGGATAAACAGATTGGCCATCCTGTCCACCAAACGCAAATAGTTGAACTGCTTTGCATACTTGGGGAATACTTGCTTGAGGCAGATCGAGGGTAAGCTGGCTTCATTGTTCATATAAGCTTCTGCATCAAAAATATCTGCTGACTGTGGTTCATCTGTCCCCTCTCTGGATTCTTCTCTCATTCCTGATATCTTATTACACTGTTCAGATCTGAAGCACATCAAAAACAAACAAACAGAACTTCCTTTATTGCATTTACCAGACAACGGATGAGAGAATAAGTATTAGGGCTGGAAGAAATTTAAGAGCACAAAACACTAGCGTGATCTTAAAACATAAAATGGTAGGGCTAGAAAGGATCTTAGATTATAGAATGTTACAATATAGAATAAGGAAAGTCAGGGCTATACATGACCTTAGAAAGTATCTAGTTCAATCTTTTCCTTTTAAAGAGAAGTAAACTAAGGTCTCTAAAGGTGGAGATCACACAGCTAGTTAATAGTCTAATCAATATCTGAGTCCAGGTCTCCTGATGCCAAATATAATTTTTTCAATCTAACCTTCATTTGATCACAACTCCAATTATTAGGAGTATAATACTTGTGCAACTGAAGTAGACACAAATGTATTGGGGGAAAAGCTGTTATAACAGTTCTATCAAAAAGGTGAGAAGAAAAAAATAAGTTACCGAGAATCATAATTGATTTTCTGTTTTTAATATAGTATTTTTTTACTTTGAGTTCACAAAGAAATCATATAAATCACCTACCTTTGGCATGAGTTTTTCATTTTAAAGAAAAAAGTATCCATGTAATATTTTAGTTGGATACTGAAATAATTAAGTTCTGATGAGTGGAAAGAGGGATTGGGAGTCAAGAAACTGGTTCTGCCACAACTTAGTGTATGACCTTTGACAAATCACTTTATTGCTCTGGGTGTCGCTTTCCTTCTCTGTAAAATAAGAAGGTTGAATCATATGGTCTCTAACCAGATCTCTTTCAGCTCCAATAATAATAGGTAACATTTACATAGCACTTTAAAGGTTGGAAAGCATTTTTACATTTAATCTGATTTGATCCTCACAACAACCCTGTGAAGTAGGTACTGCTTTTATTTCCCTTTCACAGATGAGAAAACTGAGAGTCAACTGAATCCCCCAGGATCATATCTAACAGTCTATTAATTCCACGCAGTCCAAGCTAACAAAATGATGAAATAGTTTAAGTTTATTTTTCAGTGATAATGGGGTCATAACATTCCAGAGTTCACTGTGAAGAGGGAATAGCATCTTTGGCCCATTCAGTTCTGTGCCCAAATCTTGCCAGCTGAGATTAATCATAATATGACTGATGGACACAAGTCCTCTCCCCATGCACACACACAAAAGGCAAACAAAATGTAAATTATTATCTTTTGTACTCAAAGCTAACAATATTACTGTCTTCAGATACTTTAAGACTATTGCTAAAGTAACCAAGCCGCAAATCTTGGGAAGGCACAGAAGGAGGACCTCAGTCTCTTATTTTTTCAGAAGAGTAGGGGGTCAAATAGTTGGGAAACATGTCCTCAGATGACAGAGGATATCATAACTCTAATTGGTTAGGCCTTCATCAAAACTCAGCATACCAATGAATAATTCATTGGTCTTTCTTACAGATAGGTCATTTTAAATGAAACAGTCTATGAATAGCACAGTTGGGTTTCTCTTTCTGTATTTCTCTTTTGATTGCCATGACATTGAAATCAGTGAGTCTTTTAACCAAGGAATCTTAGCAACATAGAACCTTGGAGAATTTCTTCTATAACATTTTTGATGGCTGGCCATTCAAGTCACATCTTGAACACTTTTAGTGACAGCAAGAAGCCTTGTTAGGTGCTAGGGATCAAAAGACAAAAATCAAACAATCCTGGCCTTGAGGAGCTTGCATTCTACTGAAACAAACAACGAAAGAGAAACTCATATTGATTTTATTTTTGGCTATGGTGAGAGAAGAAAGAGTTGGAGAAGAGAGGTTTTAAATTGAATAAGGAAGAGGACTTTGTAAAGGTGATTTGGAGGTGGCTGAATGTATGAAGAAGGCCAGAGATTGGATTTAGGGGAAGAGAAAGTTGAAAGAATTTCAGGATAAATTGAAGGAAGACTCAATCTGATAAAAGAAAAGAATAAAATCTGAAGAGAAGCACTCAAGGAAAAAATAGTTGGCACGGGTAGTAAGAAAAGGCAAGTAAAACCAATTGGGAAGTAAAACAAATTAATGGATGAATAAGAGTTTAGTGAGAGAAGGGGAAAGAAGTAGAATGTGACTCTGAAACTGTTGACTAGGGAAAAAAAGTTGGATGTGACTGTCAAGTAATCAAAAGCTGTAGTGTTCTTAAGGTGTTCCACAAGTAGTTCAACCAATAATGCTGAGAATATCGATCAATATGAAAACCAGGAAGAATTTTACAATGATATTCAGAGTATATATTTTTTGTCACAGCCAAGTGACTGTTATCTACGTTCTGAGTGTAGGCTAGTTTTATTTTCTAGAAAAGGAGAAGAGGACCAGGAAAACCTTTTTCACACTCCAGGTTATCAAGGACAATTAATCATCTACAAACATTTATTAGGTGCCTACTATATGCCAAATACTGTGCTAGGTGCTGGGGATACAAAGACAAAAATAAAATAGTCCCTGTCCTCCCTATCAATTAAGTATTCCTTTATAAAAAGAGTTAGAGAGATGAGAGCTTTGAAGGAGCGGAGGATCTGAAATGGCAGAAGGGATAACCTTTGTGAAGAGGTTAGAAAGTAGAACACCCCCACCAGATTGACAGTGATGACAAAAAAAAATTACAAATGTTGGAAGGACTACAGGAAAACAGGCTCATTTATATACTATAAGTAGATTTGTAAATGGATACAACCACTCTGGAAAGCACCTTGGAATTATATGCAAAAGATATCTTATACACAAAATAGTGCATATCCTTTAATCCAGCGATACCGTTGCTAGTTCTATACCCTCAAAAGATCAAAAAATAGGAAAAGGTTTTAGATAGATAGATAGATATCTTAGCTCTTTTTGTAATGGCAAAAAAACTGGGAACTTAAAGGGAGGCCTGTCAAGTGAGGAACAGCTGAATAAATTGTGGTATATCAATATGAAGAACAGCTAGATGGCACAGTGAATAGAACACTGGGCCTGAAGTCAAGAAGACCTGAGTTCAAATCCAGTCTCAGATACTTACTGGCTAGCTGGGCAAGTCACTGAACCCTGTTTGTCTCAGTTTCCTCATCTGTAAAATGAGCTTGGGAAGGAAATGGCAAACTACCCCAGTATCTTTGCCAAGAAAACATCAAATGAGGTCATAAAGAGTTGGACACGACTGGAACAACTGAATGACAATTATAATATGAATATGAAGGTATACTGTTGTGCTGTAAAAAAAAATGAGGAAACCAATTTCAAAGTGACATGGAAATATCAACTGAGGCAGAGTAAAATAAGCAGAACCAGAACTAAACAATGTATACTATAATACCAACATTATAAAAACATAACAATTTTGAAAACTTTCCAGAACCAGGAGAATAATTTATATGATGCAATGTTATAAAGACAAAAAACTTTGAAAGCTGTATGAACTATGATAAAAACAATGACCATCCATGATTCCAAAGGAGTGATGGTAAAAAAAAAAAAAAAATGCTAGCCATCTCTTGACAGAAAAGTAATGGATTCGGGGCATAGAATGAGATATTTATTTTTTGAACAGAGCCAAGGAGGGAATTTGTTTTCCTTGATTGTGCATGCTTGTTATAAGGGATTTGCCTTTCTTTTCTTTTCTTTTCTTTTCTTTTCTTTTCTTTTCTTTTCTTT